TCCCCACTCTGACTCATTTCCTCCTGCACAAGAGCTGATGTGGGGGAGTGCTCAGGTCCCGCCAGATTGTGGCTTGTATCTTACCCACTTTGTTAGGTGCTGGGTTTTTGCAGATATAGGTGTAGCCTGGCTGTTGTACTGTATCTTCTGGTCTCTCTGTTAGGTGTAGTTGTATTTGTTGTATTTTCAAAAATTTATATGGTTTTGGGAGGAGACTTCCACTGCCCTACTCATGCCGCCATCTTGGCTCTGCCCCCCTGCACATTTTTAAGAAAGAATATTGATTCAAATTGTTACAGGATAGTATATCAGTGCAATAGAGGGCATTCTAAATCACAATTGGGGGTGCTCCTCAGATATGGTGTCATCCTAGTGTGAGAGGGCTGTCAGAATTCCATGGGAGCGTGCGGCCAAACTACCCATTCTGTGAGATAGTCCATAGTGTGGATGTTTTACAGGGGTGAGGATACCTCCATTATTTTCCTGATATATTGCTATGAATGGAAGCAAGTTCCATATAGGTTTCTGCGATTGAAAGCTCTCATCCTAGTCTCACTCAGCATCAGAGACATTGTTTCATGAGTGAGGACATGAAGTCCTAGAGTGATAGCGAAAAATTTATAAGGACAGCCATCTAGTCCAGGTGGCTCCCTTCTGCTTCTCCTCTCAGGAAAGACAACAGACATTCCTTTAATTCCTCCTCTGCCAAGCACTGACTCCCTAAATTCACTCCCTAATCTCACTCCCTAAACTTACTTCCCCTTGCTTGCTGTACACATAGAAATGCTGCAGGTACAGAAGTAGAAAGATATGTATCACTTCCCTTGCCTTTGTTTGGGGCTCAGACCTTGGGAGATTAGTCCCCTCTGAGCCTGCCAGTGTAAAAATAAAATCTCAACACTCCAAGACCTCCAAGTGCCACTTCGTTCTTCTGTCAGTGATCCAGTCCAGATTTTTCATGTTTTTCTGTAACAAGAGTAGTATGTGACTTACCAAAAGTTGCATTTGTAGTAACTATCATAGTTGATTGGACATTTGGACCTTGTCATTTCTGATGCAGAGGTCTTTCTACCATGTCATCCATAGCTTAGGAGTAATAAAATGTGTGCCAAAATTAAAATGAAATAAATTCAGTGATGTAAAATTGTTCATAAATAATTAATACAGTTTGTCCCACCATATGATGTATATAATAAGCATAGTTCACTTATAGTTTGATGTAGAGTAGTATAGGTTAATATCATATCTGATAGTATGTATCTCACCTACATGATAAATATTAATCAGTATGATCACCAGTATCATGATATATATGCTAGAAAAATAGGATACGGTAGCTATCACAGTGCTGAGTATCTCATCACATGATATGCATCAGAAAGCATTGTGTACCTGTATTGTCAATACAATGTGAGGAGACTTAAAGTCACATCATTCATTAGCCTTTGTCCCAACTTAAACAAGAATTTGAGTTTGAGCATTTGAGTGGACAAGAACAGGGGAATGATCAGTGATCAGGAAGCTGCTCTGATACTTTTGGGAAGCTTCCTCTATTTAAAAGTCAGGTGCCTGGCTTCTTTTGTCCCAGTAATACAGGGAGCATCTGCCATTAGCATAAAGCTCTCTGAGTGTCCCTGTAGCCTAAAAGTCTTTATGGATACCTGTTCTGTTTTTGGCATCAGCTTCTCAAGGTCACCAGTCTCAGTTGATCACTGTGCCAAAGCCTTAGCTCTAGGCATCCTGTGGGTAGACTGGGGATAATGCAGTGAGACAGTGGCAATTGTGGAACATGAGCCATCTTGACAAAGGGCAGGCTGTTGAAGGGAAAAGGAGCAGGTATTGAGATGTGGCTATATGAAGGGTTTAACTATCAGCCTGAGGAGGGTAATGGGAAGGTGTCCAAGTTCACCTAGATCACCAGTGCCCTTTTTTTCTCTCACTGATTCAGCTCTTGGCTTTCCTTGAACTCCACCTAACTCCTGGATCTTGCCTTATCTCTTGCCAGGAAGAGTCTAAGGTACACTGTTACTGGCTTTGTACAGAGGGGTAAGGATATAGAACCTTGGGAGGACATATTCTACATAGGACGTAGAATCAGAGGTCAGAAGGCCTGTCCACTAAGTCTGTGTGGGAACTTGGGCTGTCATGTCCCAAGATACTGGATTAGATGCCCTGTGGCAAGCATCTCCCCCTCTATGCAACCACAGGTCCTTATCAATGTGTGTCTGTGTTCCCAGTGCAGATTACTAGGGCTGGTTATGTAGCTGTCCTGGGCTCCCACTCCCTCCCCACTCTGACTCATTTCCTCCTGCACAAGAGCTGATGTGGGGGAGTGCTCAGGTCCCGCCAGATTGTGGCTTGTATCTTACCCACTTTGTTAGGTGCTGGGTTTTTGCAGATATAGGTGTAGCCTGGCTGTTGTACTGTATCTTCTGGTCTCTCTGTTAGGTGTAGTTGTATTTGTTGTATTTTCAAAAATTTATATGGTTTTGGGAGGAGACTTCCACTGCCCTACTCATGCCGCCATCTTGGCTCTGCCCCCCTGCACATTTTTAAGAAAGAATATTGATTCAAATTGTTACAGGATAGTATATCAGTGCAATAGAGGGCATTCTAAATCACAATTGGGGGTGCTCCTCAGATATGGTGTCATCCTAGTGTGAGAGGGCTGTCAGAATTCCATGGGAGCGTGCGGCCAAACTACCCATTCTGTGAGATAGTCCATAGTGTGGATGTTTTACAGGGGTGAGGATACCTCCATTATTTTCCTGATATATTGCTATGAATGGAAGCAAGTTCCATATAGGTTTCTGCGATTGAAAGCTCTCATCCTAGTCTCACTCAGCATCAGAGACATTGTTTCATGAGTGAGGACATGAAGTCCTAGAGTGATAGCGAAAAATTTATAAGGACAGCCATCTAGTCCAGGTGGCTCCCTTCTGCTTCTCCTCTCAGGAAAGACAACAGACATTCCTTTAATTCCTCCTCTGCCAAGCACTGACTCCCTAAATTCACTCCCTAATCTCACTCCCTAAACTTACTTCCCCTTGCTTGCTGTACACATAGAAATGCTGCAGGTACAGAAGTAGAAAGATATGTATCACTTCCCTTGCCTTTGTTTGGGGCTCAGACCTTGGGAGATTAGTCCCCTCTGAGCCTGCCAGTGTAAAAATAAAATCTCAACACTCCAAGACCTCCAAGTGCCACTTCGTTCTTCTGTCAGTGATCCAGTCCAGATTTTTCATGTTTTTCTGTAACAAGAGTAGTATGTGACTTACCAAAAGTTGCATTTGTAGTAACTATCATAGTTGATTGGACATTTGGACCTTGTCATTTCTGATGCAGAGGTCTTTCTACCATGTCATCCATAGCTTAGGAGTAATAAAATGTGTGCCAAAATTAAAATGAAATAAATTCAGTGATGTAAAATTGTTCATAAATAATTAATACAGTTTGTCCCACCATATGATGTATATAATAAGCATAGTTCACTTATAGTTTGATGTAGAGTAGTATAGGTTAATATCATATCTGATAGTATGTATCTCACCTACATGATAAATATTAATCAGTATGATCACCAGTATCATGATATATATGCTAGAAAAATAGGATACGGTAGCTATCACAGTGCTGAGTATCTCATCACATGATATGCATCAGAAAGCATTGTGTACCTGTATTGTCAATACAATGTGAGGAGACTTAAAGTCACATCATTCATTAGCCTTTGTCCCAACTTAAACAAGAATTTGAGTTTGAGCATTTGAGTGGACAAGAACAGGGGAATGATCAGTGATCAGGAAGCTGCTCTGATACTTTTGGGAAGCTTCCTCTATTTAAAAGTCAGGTGCCTGGCTTCTTTTGTCCCAGTAATACAGGGAGCATCTGCCATTAGCATAAAGCTCTCTGAGTGTCCCTGTAGCCTAAAAGTCTTTATGGATACCTGTTCTGTTTTTGGCATCAGCTTCTCAAGGTCACCAGTCTCAGTTGATCACTGTGCCAAAGCCTTAGCTCTAGGCATCCTGTGGGTAGACTGGGGATAATGCAGTGAGACAGTGGCAATTGTGGAACATGAGCCATCTTGACAAAGGGCAGGCTGTTGAAGGGAAAAGGAGCAGGTATTGAGATGTGGCTATATGAAGGGTTTAACTATCAGCCTGAGGAGGGTAATGGGAAGGTGTCCAAGTTCACCTAGATCACCAGTGCCCTTTTTTTCTCTCACTGATTCAGCTCTTGGCTTTCCTTGAACTCCACCTAACTCCTGGATCTTGCCTTATCTCTTGCCAGGAAGAGTCTAAGGTACACTGTTACTGGCTTTGTACAGAGGGGTAAGGATATAGAACCTTGGGAGGACATATTCTACATAGGACGTAGAATCAGAGGTCAGAAGGCCTGTCCACTAAGTCTGTGTGGGAACTTGGGCTGTCATGTCCCAAGATACTGGATTAGATGCCCTGTGGCAAGCATCTCCCCCTCTATGCAACCACAGGTCCTTATGGATAATAATTGGAAGGCAGGCTTTACAGTATTTTAAGCCAATCATATACTCATACATGCAGTTTAGTGAGATTTATTATTAAAATCCTATCTTTAGTTTTCTGTAGTAAACCTAGTTTAAATCAAGTGTTTTTAGCTAACTTGTGCTTTAGAGCTAAACATTGTTGGAGGAGGTAAACTTGTCTTTAAGAGCAACCTGACATATTCCAATTAATTTTCTTTATCTTTTGATGGGAATGAAAATATCTTAGGAGAAAGATTTGAGAACTTCTTTGGTGTTTTCTTTTAGAATCTCTGGCTATTGCAAAAGAACAATGTGATTGCTTTGGTGACAGTTCTCAGTATCTTCATTTCCATGGTTTCAGATGCTAATTCTAGTGGAATGGAGTATTACAGTTCCTATAAAACTTCTTCAAATTAAAATTGCAGGCTTGGGGTTTTGGGTAAGACCCCCAAGGATTTGTAATCACACTAAAAAACTCATTTAAAAAATGTTACAGGTAACTGAAGCAAAATACAAGCTGTTCTCTTGGTTGAAGTTCAACAGCACATGAAAACCTTGAGAAAGACATCATCAGTCAGTCAACAGTCAACTGGTGTCCATGACCGAGAATAGTCACTGTGAGATGGTGGAAATCCTGCCAAAGGTGGAATGGGCCCAGGAGCTAGAGTTACATTGTATTACAGACACCTTGCCTGTGCAAGGTAAGTGCAAAATTTATTGGCATTCTCTTCCATCAAAACTCTTTCTACTGCTTAGAATACATTGAGAATATGAGTTCACAATAAATCATTTCTGCAAAAATCATGCCAAGTGCCCTGTTTCCCACTTATTCCACTATCAATTTTGTCTTATGATTGTCAACTTTCTAAATAACTTCTGCATTCTATTTTAATCAATCAATAAATGATTCCCAGAACAAAGATTTACATTATTTATAAAAATATTTTAAAGTTAAAAGTGATTAAAAATGAAAAAGGGATTAATAGTAATAGCTTAATAAAAGATACATTATAAGGATGCCCTGATGATAATGGGTCCTAAATTTGTTTTCAGTCTATGCTTTGATAATACCCACGTGGCAGCTGTTTGTTTTTTTTTTTTCTTTTTTTGAAGTAAGAAACATAGTATAGACTAAAACTAAACTAGTTTATAGTTGGACTACTTGATTTTATAACAGATTTTATCATTGTTATTCATAATTATATTTATGATTTATGGATAGAAAGTGAATCTGAATTTCTGCTATAAGATGTTAATCTAATTTTCTGGCCAGTTAGCTATGACTATAAAAAAAAGAAAAAACAGTAAAAAAAGTTAAGTACAAATTTAATTTTCAACGTTACTAGTAAGGCTTTAATGAACAAACCAATTTTTAATATGATCAAATGTCTATTTTTGTCAGGAAAACATGTTACATATTTACATATCTTGGTTTAAAATTGCTAGGTACTTTTTTTAGTTCTCAAAAAGATTTTATTTATTTGGGACTCAGAAATATTGCTATAATAAAAATGTTAAATCTTAAACAGGTGTCATTTTTTAAAATGTATTACATTTGTTTCCTCTTATTATTTTTATAAGATCAGTGATTGGAGAGCATTACGTAGTGAGAGATATACAGCAGGAAAAGCATCTTCAGTGAGGGCCATAGATTAAAACAGGCTGTTTCCTAATGCCAAGGCAGTCAATGAGGATGGTAAATTCAATAAGTAATTTGATAAAGCTCAATGGTGATTGCAAGGCATTTGTTTGTTGTCCAGAAATTAGATTTAATGATCTGGTAATTGAAGGAGCTCTGGTTTTGATCATATCACATAATTGCAGTTGTATAACACCTTTTAAGCAAGTAGGAAAATTCTTTTTTAAATTAATTTTTCATGATCATATTTGAGTTCTTGCTTCATCTGGAGAGGCACCTGTAGTGTCATTAATAGGTTTCTTCCAGCTCTGCTAAGACAGTGAGTGTCTCTCATCATGTGTTACCTTGAATTCTGTGCCTTACCCAGAGTCTGGAGGGTCTGACTTACTCTTTGGCTGAGAGCCGTTTTTCTGGGTGATAGATTCATGGCAGACTATCAAGTGAAACTTTTGATGAGTTTTATTGTTATGTAATAAGAAGCCACTGTCTCAAGTTTCATGGATTGAACCTTATTCTATCCCTGGTTAGAGTTTTGTGGTTATGTAATGGTAAAGCCATTATCTGAAGTTTAACTGGGGCTTTATTCTATCCCTGGTTAATTCTCAGGTATAAGCAGTACTGAGACTATGGAATTTAGTCTCAGAATAATTAAAGACATTGGGTATTAAGTTAGATATTAGCTATCTTTGGGTAATTATTGAATGATCCTTTGCCAATGTTAAAAGAATCTTTAGGGTTCGTCTGTGATAAGAATCAGAACACAAAAATATTAAACCTACTTTTATGTTGGTGATTGAAATTTAGAGTATTTTATTTAAAACAAAATTAATGTATTTACAAAATGCTGAGCATATATTTCTTGGTGAATACTGCCTATAGGAAACTACTAACTGCAGTTGCAGTTGATTGGGAAACACATAACATGCATCAAAGAGAGAAATTTCCAAGCAATATTATATTGGATATTAAGATTACATTTTTAAAGACTTCTTTTTTAAACTATTCAGAGGAACTTCCCAGAACTACAGGCAAGTAGCAGATGATGGCTTTATTATGCATAGATACTCTTAAACTTATTTTATACCAGTGTGGTATGTATTTGATTTATTAGCATTATGGTAATATGACAATAATAGACCATAAGGAAAAAATAATAATAAAAACAACCACAATTATTGTGTTCATACAATCCAATACTATACTAAGTACTTCAGGTGGGCTAGCTCACTTTTTTCTTTAATTTTCACATAATCCACATGAATCCTAAATCTGTTTCCAACATCTGAGTCATTTGTATAAACAATTTTACAGTTTTTTTTAACGTCCATGTTCAAGGAAATTAAGTTTCAAAGTACAGCTGGAAAGTACTCTCTGCCAAAGAGAGATTCCCCTGGTGCTACCTAATCTTATTGTAAGAAGTTGTCGCTGTAAATTTGTTTTTTGACATACTAAGTGCGTGCCTTTCTCATAGACACTAAAATAAATAGGTTTTGAAAAAAAGCCCCTCACTGTACTGGTGACATCACCAGTATTGTACATCTTGCAAATTGAGATCTACTTCATATTATTATCTTGTTTTTTTATATGAACAAACTGGGACTTCAGAGAGGTTGTATGCCTTGTTTATAGTCACAAAACTACTAAAAACAGGGAAGTCAACTAAGATATTCTCTTAAACACTGTGTTCTTATCCACTAAGCTGAATTTTCCATACTAGCACTATGGAGAAAAGTGGCTCTCAATCAGCTTGATCTAAAAATTGAATAATTTATTGACAGGTTTTCTTAGATTTTTATTCCTCTCTCATAAATCATACTTTCTATTACAAAAGAAAATGCAGTGTTCAATCATTGCCATCTCAACCTTTATAATAAAGAAAATCACCAGGTTTCTTGAACTGTTTGTTCCTGAGATGCATCTAGAAAGCAGTGGAAATCAAGTGAAATGAGAGTTGAAGTATAATGTGTGTTTGAACTTCATAATTTCATGGCTTACTTATTTTCAGTGTTTTCACTTGTTACCTGTCACAGTATGTATTTTATTTGAAGTCAATATTTGCGTATTGGTATTTTACAGAAGAGTGGTGGATTTTATCTGAGTTTACATTTTTATAATGATTACATTGTTATCTTCCTCAAATCTCTTTAATAAGAAATTGTGCAATTTTCATATTTAAGGCTAAGAGTCATAGCTCTAAAAAGAGTAATAGTTTCTGAAAGGAAAGGAGCGACACACAGCAGCAGTTCACCGGAGAATTCCGCTTTATTAGGGAAAGGTGCTGGGTTATATAGGAAGGGGCATGGGGTGATTGTGGTGTTACTTCTACGGCGCTGGTGGCTATTGGCTAGGTGCTGGGATTGGGAGGTGGTCGAGAGGTGATTGGGCTTCAGGTGGCACCGGCAGGAACCGAGGACCCCGAAGAGAAGCCGGAAGTTCGCCATCTAACTGGTGGGGGCCCTTCTGTTTCTATAATAAAATGCATTTGAAAGTTATTTCCTTTTTTAAAAAATGTTGTTTGGATTAGTTTAAACAAGGGCTTTAAATTGTTCCATTAAATAAATTAGTTGAAATAGAATTGGAGGCTTTGTAGACAAAACTGTCACCTTGGAATAATTGACTGAACTTAAATTCATGTTAAACTGTGGGGTGACAAAGATGACACATCAAATATG